CGCACAAACCACTTCTGCACCAAGTCGACTCGAAAAACTCTGTTTTGAATTTCCCGCTTTTTTTCACCTGACCAACATTGACGTCACAAGCTGTTTTTTCCGACAATTTTTCCGACCGCTCTACGAAGATAAGGGCCAAAAAATAGCAATTTTTAATTGCGAATATCTCGGAGATACTTGCTTCAATTGAGCTGAAACTTCATAGTATGTTTATAGTATGTTTATTTGGTTCATATTAAACACATTTCACTAGAATTGAATTAAAATAAAAAATGTCGAATTTTTGGTTCATTTGACCTTTAATACTTCACTTTTCAGTGACTGTGAGAATGCTGGACTGCAGGAGCTGTAGAGTTAAGTATTTGGCATAATGAGGGACAGTGAAGGAGCCCAGGGTGGGTACTTCCCAGTAATAGGCTAATGGGGATGTGCTGCTGGATGGGGTCACATTTTAATGACTGGACTGACTATAATGGGCTTGCATTTGCAATGGAGTTACATAGAGTAAGGAGAATGGGGTTTGCACAGAATTTTGGGGTTAAAAAAATTCAGGCAAGTGGGGATTAAAACGTGGACTTTTTTACTACATGTTTCAAATCATGACCAAAGGATTTATAGGGTACATGTACTGTAGATGCATAAACAGAAAAATGACTTAGGAGCTCTTAGGAATACCGTATTTCCTTGAGTACTAGCTGTCTCTTTTCGCCTCCCTCAAAAAATTGCCTCTTATTAATGCGAAAAAAGAAATAATTGCCCCCAGCTTTCATTTAACAAAATACAGTAGTTGGGATCACGGAAATTTGCTTTTGCCCAAAAGTGAGTAAGATGGGGTAAACAATTGGCCACAGAATGCACTAGAATGGGGAGGGAGTTTTTAGTGGCCAGCAGCACACCCCATCAAAAATTCATCCAAGTAACCCCTTCCATATGAAAAGCAAGTTGCTATAGTAGCAGTAACTGTGCCAGTTGCCTGAAAATATGTTCCTGAAACCCCAGAGTTAATTTACAGACGGATGTGAGGTGTAAAATAGGGGGTGCCCCGGGCCCCTCCCCTGGATCCACCACTGTAACAGTGGCACTACTTTAACCTCATTACTAACTGGGAATAAAAACCCTGCATTGGGAATAATCTTATTTTTCTAGCAAAGGGAGAGACTGGATACAGAAAAAGGGAATAAGTTATGGAGCCTCACAATGGAATATCATGATTAGGGTGGTTTTTGCCGTGACCCTTGACTACTTCTTAGCTGATGTCTGAAGTTAAAAAAGCAACCTTGGACACCTGCCTTATAATTACTTTTATGTTTACAACAACCCACATAACAAGTTAAAACAAATTTAAAAATATATATCTTTATAAAAAAGCTGTCTTACATCGTCTTCCCCATTTACTGTTTTATGTGTCCTGACATATATAGGACTGGTGCCAGCAATAGCGGAGCTCCCGCGCGCGCTTCGCGCACGCCTAGCGGAGCACCATGGGTAAGAAAATTTGGTAAACTATCCATCCCAGAAAATTTGGTTATGACGTAGCGTACGTCCGTCCGTACGGACTTTCCGGGTAGTGGAAAGTAGTCCGCATGGACTCTTGAGGTAGGGGAAAGTAGAGATTTTTTGGCGGGAAATCGCATGGCGCAACGCGTTAACGTCGCGCAATTTTTTATCGCGCAACTGGTTTTGGAAAAAAGAAAGCAAGTAGAAAGAGTCAGAGCGAGAAGAAGGAGAGAAAATTATAGTGAAAAACGCTGGCAAGCAGAACGAGACAGAGCTAGAATGGACAGACAAAGGCAACGCGAAAGAGAAATACAAAGGCAAAGAGAACGGCAGCAAAATAATGACATGATGACAGAAAGTGTTGTGTTAATGTCACTATGGCCCCGCGCTATTAACATTTTGATTTCAAACTGATCTCGGACTCGAAAATTCAGCCAGTAATTTAAAAATACAAGCAGGGAAGACAGAGGCTTTTCACTTTTCTCACCATAGTCACCCGTTGATCACGCTCTACGACCGTCCAATTTTTATGCTCTGATTGGTCAAAATTTGACAGGTGAGTTCATGCAGAAACTGATTTATACAGCATCTTGAACCTTGTTTACTTTCAGTTTGACAGCTGAAGCTGACAGAGTATTTTGTCAACTTGTAATGTTTTTTACTGTCTTTTTCCACTGGATGCTTAAAATGAAATACAGCTGCTATCAACAGTCTTCTTTGATTCATGGCTGGTTTGTTTATTGAATTTTTGGTCGGGAAATGCGCCGGTTGCCAAAGTTGGAAATCCGATTTCGGATGCATCGCTTTCGTTTTTACCTTGCTGGATGCGGGTTAAAAAGTCCCTCAAGCGATTTTGGCCTTACTTTATAGCTTTCAAGCGCTGCATCTCGAATGGTAAGCCTAAGTAATTATTGTATACAGTGTATGTTTGTTTTTTAATATCTAATTTCATGAAGTCGAGCGCAGTTTATGAGGCTAATTTATGCACGTTTGTATAAAGATC